TGTACTTATGTCTCCATATCCATGTCGACATGTCCGTACGTCAGCATCTTGCTTTCCGTCATTCATTGACGCGATCGATCCCTATTCCCCAGCTTACTGTGCATGTTCCTCGTGCCGGGCCTACGCTGACTATATGCATACTCGTGTATCGCGAGTTCAATCTTCGGATGCAGAGCTGTCTTCTAGAATCCGAAGTATGTCAAACACACCAATCCGTTGTGATCAAACATGCGCCGATGCATAAATCAATATATTGGCCATCACACCAAGCTGGTGTATGAACATGCAGAATGACTCCTTGGGACTGGTTAGGCATACACACACCCATTCTGAATGGTAGTCCTGGAATACGGGTTCCAAAACAGAAGCAGCACGTTGATGAAAAGAGTGCATCGAGGGATCTGGTTAGCTCCAGAGGCGTAACAACTTAAAGGCATTTACACTGACGACATATGTACGTTCTAGTTCTGGCTAGCTAGTGGACGAACTCCGCCCGTTTGCGGAACAGATAAATTGAGGCTTTACAAATTGTCAAACTTGCTTGCGAATCGGAGAGCCTAGTTCGCGAACTTGGTTTCAGGTCGCGACTCGGGCAATATTTTAAGAAATGGTGAATTCGCCAACGGTTAACCGGTTCTGAACAAGTACATATACTTAACGCATGTCTGAACAGCGCACCGGCGCACCGGAATACGCCGCTGAGTCAACGGATTGGTACGTATGAACATTCCCTCAGAGGACCTGTGCGACTGCAGAATGCTACCAATATAGCTATATAGCATGCCGAGCCATCTGTCAGTTAAGTGAGATGTACAGATCACGGGCCATCAGCCAATATATGTCCACCAATTACCGGATGACTTATTATACATACAAGTCATCCGGTGAACAACAATATAGAGAATAGTTACTCTATTCAAACGAGGAATATTCACGGCGAAAGAGAAATTACGCTACCATCTACCAGCTGAAATCTGAAGGGGAGGCAAATAGAGGGATCGCCGGTCGCCTTGTAAGGCTTCGTCTCCTTCAACTCAGATGCTCTATGCAGGTCCTGGGCGTCACCTCGGTACTAAGTATGTATGTACTCTACTTAGTATGTTAGCTGGAAGTCTTGGCAGTATATATATTTCCCTACCACAGTCACCGAGAGTGAGGGATAAGGTTCTTCCAGTTATAAAGTTAGCCGCTGAGGCAACAAGATGCCAATCCGCCTGATTAGCCGCTAAGGCAACAAGTTGCGAACTACATGTAACTGACCGGGACTTAATGTCTACTATGGTTGCCTTTGTCTCGGATCCAACGAAAGGTAGCCTGCTACACGTAGTTAGAGGCCAGGAAGAGTGAACGTCGACTCAACAGCTGTGAAGCGGCGGCGGCGGTGGCGCAATTCGATAGATATCTCTAGCAGAGAACGATTGCATGAGGTGGAGCAAGTAGGTTCTCGCGATTATAAAGATTCTGAACGCCTACTCATGCTATTCATGAAACATCGCATTAGTGGGCTCGGGACGGAGGATGAGTGACTCTTTACATTCAAGGGACATGGGAAATAGAACTTCTTGTGTATCCAGCCCATGTTTCAGCCACGAGTTTGCCAGGAAAAACTCGCAGTGTACTCAAGGATGATGCACGAAACACACCACGAGGGTAGTAAGTGGGCCGGGTGCGGAGTTTTGACAGCTCATATCTAGATTACGCTGTGCATCTTGCTAGTTGTGTCGGTAAAGTTATGATTTGGGAATTGTGCGTGGTGCACGTTTTGGATGGTTTTGTATTCAAGGGCAGACGTTTCAAGTGGTCCAAAAAGAAAAGACACGCCACGGAAAGGAGGCGGCACATATTTTACACAGCAGACGAAGCTCACACCTTCGCGAGCGGCGGATTGGAACGGTATGAACTGATTTAAGACTGGAATCGATATCATATCGGATCCGTTCCTCAGTTAAGCATATAAGAAACGGAATTGGAATACCCTCAAAACTATTACCTTTGTTAACACTCATGATCCCAGATCGTCAAGAAACACGCGGAAACTGCGTAATATCAGACGTTATATACGGTACATATCCCCAGATTGCACGCCGCTTGCTGCGGTGCTTCGGGGCGTAATAGGGCACGACTTGCAAGCTTGACCTCGCTGTGCTGAGGGTGGTTCGAACAAGAAATTTCACGCGTGGACCACCAACAGCTATTGAATTGTTGCACTGAACCACATGATATCTTTATTGTGAGTATTCCAGTCACTTCAAGCACCATGGCGGCAAGACAATTCCCTAATAATAACCTGAGGCATTTTGAAGTGTCTCGAGATTATTTTTTCAGCAAGTGACAAATGAAATTAGGGTTGTTCGGTGAAGGAAATCGATGGTAAGTACGACACTTTCCAGACTCGATAGTCTGTTGGTCAGACCTGACCCCCACTACAGGCCCAACGCCTTGTACATGCGTATGTAGTGCTACCGTTTACTGCTTAATCGGTGGTTTTTGATGGCCCGCAAGAGTGCCCCATATCAATACTTGGCAAATTTTCTATGAAACTCGGATTTGTTTATGTTAACATAGGAAATATCAAAGGTAACACGAGGGGCTGCATAGGAAATTTGAAGCAAAGTTGCTATCATTGCATTTTGAAAATGCAAGCTGTAGCTTGAAACAACAAACCATTTTCTCACTCCTTCCTACAATTGTACGAGCTGGTTCCTCGCTCGTGATATCGATTTCACTCTGTATATCACAGTCGGTCACTCGTTCTCTGGTCCTCCACGAATTTTGCATCTTGCATTAACAGGTAGAACCAAATACTGACCATGAAGTTGGAATCCGACTGCAAACGACAACTTGGAGTCGGAAGCCACACCGATTGTTATCAACAGCCGGCAATGTAGCAACTACTTCCATTCGCGCGAGCTCAAGCTCACGACCAACCAGAATCACCAAAAAAATATTCTCGAAATTTAGATACTCATGAAACAAACGTTATAACGCAACCCACAATTATGGAGAGCGATCACTCTGGGTACTTCCGACAAGCCTCCCATAAAACTCTACGTAATGAACTGCCTTCTTTGTGTCGGAATGGTCCTCCCCATGTAGATCCGTACAGTCAGTTACAATACCCCGAGCTAGTTCCAACGCCTCTTCAAATCTCCCCAACTTCTCGTAACTCCAAATAACAGCGAAAACTGCACGTAAAGTATCCTTGTGCAAAGAGCCGTATAAATCCGTGTATCCCTTAACACGATGGAGCGCCCACTCCAACGCGTCTTCAAAACGCTCCAATTGCGAGTAAACTATCATCAGATCTCTGGCTGACTGAACAGTGCTGATGTTTGTAGGGCCAACTGTCTCCTCATACCCACTCCGAGCAAGGCGATAGAATTCCAGGGCTTTTTCATACTGCTTCAACGTCTGGTAAACACGCCCAATGTTGGTAATTGTATGTAAATTCTCTCGATGCTTCTCAGTCCCTGGTTGGTATTTCCTGGCTAAGTCCAAAAACTGAGTGAAACATTCTAGTGCTTTGCTGTGTTCACCCCGGCTCTCATATAAATTGCCCAAATTATGGACTGTGCGGGCGAAATCCGGATCTCCAATACCAAGGACTTGTTCGGTGATTTTCAGACATCTCAAGTGCAAACCAAATGCCTCGTCACATTTTCCGGCCCTCCGGAGCCACCTGGCCTTTATCTCCATCGTATGCAATGTATGCCGGTGGTGTTGACCAAGCAGAGAAATCTGAGAAGCCAAAATTCCGTTCACTTGGTCAAGCATCTGAAACGACTGTTTGGAGTCGCCCTCACAGTCGCTCTTCGTGAGCAAGTATGTCATTGACAATATCGACAGTGCATGCAGGGCAGCAGGATTGGCTGTCCAGCTTCGATCTGGAAGCATTTTGTACAGCTTGATGGCGGTCTCGAGGATCTTTGTAGCTTGGTCATGGCTCCCCCAGGAGATGTACATATGTCCCAATTTATAGATCATCAGGGCCAGTTCCTCATCAATGATATTGCCTGGTGAATCTTTCGTCTCGTCGCTGAAGTAATCCGAAATATACCCACAACACAGTCCAAGATGCGTCGTGATGTTTTTCTCGAAGGCCCAATCAGTGGTTTGACGAAGGTTGAGTTCCACTTCGACCGCAGTACCAACCAGACAGAGAGCCTTCTTTGCACCCTCCTTTAGCAGTTGTCGCTGGCGCTGCCGATTGTGCTCGTGGACAATCGATTGGCCCTCCAGATCCTGGTATGACTCACGGGCCATAACTTGCACCAGAGGGTGGATCCACAATGCTCGACCATCTCCGCTCAAAGAGGATTTACGTATCATGAGCGAGAATTTGACCAGTTCATCGATTGAGTCATCGAGTCGGTATCTGTCTGCACGCGTATTAGGCTCCAAGTAAACGTTAAATATGCAGGTTTGATATCACGGTGCAATATTATATCGGACTCTTTATACATACTGACTAAAGGTTTCAGACTCACCGTGGTTTAGCCAATGCATTGAACCAATTCCTCTGTAGAGTAACTCCTCTGGGATGCTATCACCACTCAAGAATGCACAAAGCTGGAGTAGCCCGATGGCATCTGGTTTTTGTCGATTCACGGCCTCAACCGAAAGTTTCCAGCAAGAAAACACTCCGTCCGGGTAGGACGAAAATGATCTGCCCAGAAATTGGCTCAAATCTCTGCTAAGACGCTTCAAATACTCAACGAAGTCGATCATCATCGTAGACAACATGTAAGCTACTGCTTGGGCAAGTGCAAGTGGCAGTCCTCCTAGAATCTCGATGATTTTCTCTGCCGCTTCTCTAGTTTGATATGCTCCGTCAGCATGCTATTAGCTTAGGAAATACATAATGTAGCCAGCTACCTTCGATGGTCAAATTATCTAGTGTTTGGTTGACCCCTTGATCAATGAAATTATTCGTTAGTATTTATTTCTCATAAAGAACCCGCAAGATACATCGAGTCACCTTTGAGTAGTAAATCTAATCCTGCCTCCTTCTCTATCTCGTGGTTGTCAATAAGGTCACCGCGAAGATGAGTAGCCACAGTCCTGTCCCTCGAAGTGACGATAATATGCCCATGACCACCCTCGGGAAGCAATTCTGACACGTTGAATAAATCCATGTCATCGTATCCATCAATCACAAGACACCAGTCCGTATTTCCGGCTTTTGACAGCGGACCATATCCCACACCGACTGTCTACCGCTGGATTCTAAAACCAGCTTTCCGGATGAGTCAAGCATTCCTGGGATTCCCAGCTCTATGGCGATCCGCGCAAAATCTGGGCAGCTCTGGTACTTTGTGGCGTAGTGCCTTATCAATGTTTCCATAATCCGCAAGCCGCTGAGGTTTACTGTTTCTTGGCTTGCGGCATTGATCCAGAACACGCTGTAGTCCTCCGAAAAATGACGATACCCGTATTCCAGAGCAATTGTGACTTCCCGATTCCACCCAATCCCGTCAGGACAACAATTCGACGCTGGTTAGTGCCTTTCTCTGCCCCCTCACAGACGAAACATTGCTTAATTTTCGCAAGAACGTCCTCGCGGCCACAAAATTTCGGGTCTCGGGGAAGAAGAAGCTTTGTAGGAACTTGAAATTCCGAGAACGCGATGGACTTTTGGTAAGTGGGCATTTCTTTCTCACAAGTTAACCGTTGATACGTGTACACAGATCGTACTCAGGCTCACTCACTGTGGAAGTAGACCTTTGTCATAATTTCGAGATCACTGGTGTATCCATCAAGATCCTTAACCAAGATACGAAGTTCGTCATGGTCCGATAGTACCCAAGTATAGCGATGGTACATCGACAAAGCTCGTTGATATTGTTCGGTTTTTTCTTCCAGCCGTCGGATACTTGCACATACCTCAGGGACGCCAAATTCAAGGTTCAATTCGCGAAAATTCTTTGTCATCGAAGATTCGTCGCTTAGAGGTAGAGGACTCATTAAAGATGAATTCGAGGTTGCAAATGCATGTCCACCTACACTGGAAGGTCCTAGGGAGGAAGCTAGAGCCTTTGGTCTAGGATCCGAGACATCGCAGTCGGATATTTGAGGGTGGAAGAAACCCTTGAGCCGGTCCCTTTTGCGTTGTTTTCCCCTCGGTTCGGAGCCGGTTTCTGTTGACTGGATTGAACTGAGTTGCTTATCAACACTGATGCGCATGATGCCGTACTTGGATTGCAACTGCCCCACTTTCGCGAAGACTTCCGCTACAGACGCCAATGTTTCCAAGACTGTGATATACCTTCCTAGGTCTTGCTCCAAGACTGTCCACAATCGCCGGCGCCAGACAAATCATGGATCCAGTCCTCAAGCCGGTGTCGCACGACATCGAGATCATGTTGGCATTTATGTAGTTCTTTTCCTACTGCTTGTGCCCCTGCGAATGTTTTGTAGCCGTCGATTGAGATCTTCAGCAGTTGGGTGATTACTGCAGGACCTGCAAGGACTACTCCCGCAACCTCGAAGCCTGTCATTTTTTTCGACTGAGTGGCATGTCAGTCATAATTTAATCCACCTAGCATCTAAGAAAATCCATCCGCAAAGTTACTCACTGAGGTCTCTTCAGTACTATCTTTATTGTGGGTTCGTGAACAGTGTGAGGGTGAAGTTCGTCTCGCGAGGCTCTCTCAGCGAGCGGGGTTGCGAGGGCATGGCACACCAGATTTTGAGGCTGACAGAATTGAAAGAATTACATTTAAGAATATTAATACTACTGCGGAGGACTTCGCAGCTTCTTGTCGTGCAACGATGGATACACATCTACTGTAAGAAAAAGTTGCAGTTTCTGCAGACTAACGCAAATCAAGTATTAGGATGGAACGGTCGAAAATGGTTCCTTAAACTCTACGACTGCAGTTCAAAACTCGTTTATCTCAATACACAAACTTGCGTCCGTCGTCAACAATCCCCCATGTTTCATACAATACTGTCTTTTTTCAGGACAGAAACCTTAATTTGATTTATATAAAAATTATTTGGGCCGGTCATTACAACTGGTGTCGTGGCGCAATGGTAGCGCGTTGGCTTCCGGTGATTGATTGCCAAAGGCTGCAGGTTCGAGTCCTGCCGATATCGTTTTGCTGGCCATCCGAGATACTTCCAACATTTGGAAACATTCGTGATTTCCTCTATTTAGAAATATAGCCATTGTTTTTAGACAACTCATAAAACTGAACTTCCACTGCACCCCGTTCCGTTCCCCAGACATCCATAATCACTCACTTACCATTTAATCTCCTGGTCGCAGACAGACAACCAGTATTCCCATGCTACATCACTCCAGTTTTCCGGGAACGGAAACCCTACCTGCTTGAAATACATATGTCTGAACTCATTCTTACTCGTAAACGCCTCCCACTCCTCTGCTTTAACCACCACCGCATCCACAGCATTGTCTTTGAGGTATTCTATCGTCAACTCGGCGCCCGGGAGTAGGATGTTTTTTACTAAGCGTCTTCAATAGGCCCTGGAGTTCTTGTTAGTTTAGCAACCGATGTACCAGCGAATAGAAGAGTACGGAGATGCTGGACACGAGAAAGCATGTCAGAAAGATAGATAAGACGGGCTTAGTGCCTATGTTAGTGAGGGTGAACACGCGGGTTCCGGCGTTTGTGGAGGAAGCCATTTGAGTTGGTAGTTGACAATTACTGTTGTGTTTATCAGAGCTTTTGTTTTTGGTCATGGGTCCATCTTAGAGGTCAGTTTATATGTGAGTGCACGTGAAATCAGAATAAGAAAAGAATAAAAACAGGTGCTTATGGCCTACACATCATGAATGAACGAATGAATGAATGCATTGATATCCACGGTGTCAGTGGCGTACCCCTGGCAATCGCACACACACTCTGCTTCAATGGCTGGCGGTTTGACGATCTAACCAAAAGTTTAAGTTTACTGGGGACATCACGAACTCCTACTCTCCGCTCGCGATTCACTATCATTTACCTGCTAGTTGAGAGAGATACTAGGGATTGCTGGGTATGTGCTTGGTCTCGGTTGAACGATTGCTCGGTCTTGGTCATGGTTAATCACTCACGTAGGATTTCGGGCGGATTGTTACTGTGTGATAGGGGAGAACCGTGTGTATAGACTAAGGTACAGTGTGAAGAGAGAGAGAAGGAGAAAGACGGAGAAAGACTCAGGGGTATATGCAGGGGAGTGGTGTGCCCTATGCCCTACTGGATGCTCCATGTAACACGGATATTTATCTCTATCACAAGAACCACGCAAGAACGCACGCTCCCGCTCGCAACAGAATAAAACCCATAAATTCAGTCAAAGAAAATATTCTGCCAGAATACCCCGTATAAAACAACACCCCACACCCCCAACTCCCCACCAGCACCGTAGTCGTCCCACCAAAATAAAAATACATACATACAAAAGAAACCTTCCTTAAGGAACGCCCTAATAAAATCAAATCATCGTCATCTCCACTCCATTCACCCTCGTACAAAGCACAGGACTGCCAGGTCGCATATCATCATCCTGTTCGTTCTTCTTCTCATCCTCCTCGTCCTTCTCCTTCTCCCCCTCAGTTTCATGATCAGCCTTCTTCTTGTCATCTTTCTCATCCGTCACTTTCTCCGTCTCGAGATCGTTCTCCTTCTTCTCATCCTTTTCTTCCGTCTCCTTCTCCTGGTCATCCTCTTTCTTCTCATCCTTCTCCGCCGTCTCCTTCTCCGCCTCCTGACCACTCTTCTTTCCTTCCTGTTCAGGCTCCACGTCAGCAGGTGCGACCTCTCCGGTCTGCTCCTCATCCTTCTGTTCCGGTGTAATCTCGAGTGGACTCATCACACACGGCGATGCTGGTAGCGAGTTATGGCTGCCACTACTGGGCGTGTCGAGCGCTGACATTGATACAGACGTGCTCAGAGGTGAGCCAAAGGTGGCTCTTCGATACCGCCCCGGCAATGGACTATATCCCGGGGAGGTAGGGGTTGGGGAAGTAGTGATGAGTTGCGGGAGCGTCATAAACTCCGGGGGGAGTTTGGGGGAGAATAGGGGGCGTTGGGGAGGAGTCTGCTGCTTGTTGCTGGTGATGAGGCTTGGTAGGGACATGCGTGGTGACTTCTGCGCCGCGAACTTTACAGGTGACGTGGGACGTGAGATGGCCGCAATGAAAGTCTCCTCGTCAGGAGAGAGTGCAGGAAGCTGTGGAAGTGCGGGGCTTCCGAGGGGTTGTTCTGAGGTAAGATGGTACTCCGTTTCCGGCTCGGATTCTTCCTCTTCACTACTACTTTGCTCTTCCTTCATTCTTCGTCTCAGACGCTCCACAATCTCCAACTCCCCCTTTGCGCGCTTCTCGAGCGCCTCTAGCTCCCTTTCCAACCGCCTTTCGAGGATCCCTTGTTCCAGCCGCGACATCTCCTCCTCCGCTGCCGCTAGCTGCCGATGGAGGGCCGCGACCTCTGCTGGTCCCGCCCGCCGAAGATGTGCCTTCTGCGTCTGCACCATCAGACGGTCCCGCTGTTCCTTTGCAGTGTTGGGTTGGAGAAGATGCGACAATGTAATGGAATACATTGTCTGGAGGGAACTCAAAAACGATTTCTCATTCTCTGCGAGAAGCATCTGCAGTGTTGAGAGATTCTCAGAGGTGGAAAGCGGGAAGAATGATCGGGTTTGGAAGAGGCGCGTCTGAACGGCGAGGAGCTCGGCGTCGTAGGATAGCAACGAGTTAACTGCGTCCGAGCGAGCGTTGGGGATGGGTGCTGGTGCGGCGGGAGTCTGTGGAACACTGACGGAAAAGGTTGATTGCCATGCTGGGGGAGTGGGGGCGAACGGTGGCACAGTCGATGTGGCGCTCCACGGCTCCGTCTCGCTAGGTCGAAGCGCCGGGGTGCCTGCTGCCGTGCTTGCAGCTGTGCTCGCAGCTGTGCTCGCAGCTGTGTTGCCGAAAGTTGGGGACGCTAGCGAGGGGCGGCGCTGGAGGCGGGGACCCTGTGCCCCCTCCTCCTCATCTTCATCCTCCACTTCCTTTGCCGTGGCTCGTAGACCAAATGGGAACGGAGTCTTGGGTGGTTGCTTAGCCCATAGTCGCTGATATTTCCCCACCCTCGTTCTTCCAGATCTTGGAACTCGAGGCACTGCTTCCTCCTCCTCCTCCTCCTTCTCGTTGTCTTCCTCCTCTTCCTCGTCCGAAGAGCATGGGGAAAAGAAGGAGCGCACCGAAGATGCATTCGCCGATGGATCTTCGAGGAATGATATACCCGTTATAGGCGGCTTTACGGCCAATATCGGGGGAGGGATAGCTTTGACATGCGGCTGCGGTGCTTGTGGCGGGGTGCTGGAGAGTTTCGTCATGCGCGCAGAAGCGAAGGAGCCTGCAGACGAGACCGGCGAGATTTCTTCTGGCTTACACGATGATTCCGAGTTACTGCGTGTGATTGAAGCCTGAGATGAAGAGCGGGATGGAGGCGGTGAAAGTGGTAGGGACATAGTTGACGGTGGTTGTATATATGTGGATGACGAGGTTGGTTGATTATCGTAGTAAATATATAGAGAACGAACACAAGATGGTTGATTATTAGGAAGGGTCGTGGAAGTAGCGAGAGCTGAAGATCTTCTGGTACCTGCCGGAAGTATATGCTGCTGTCGAGATGAGCGAGGTTCAGGGCACCCGAGTGCAGATATAAGGAAACCCGTTGACTTCCGAAATATAGTAGATGCAGTTATATAGTGTCTCCAAGCGCTGTCAGCTGCAAAGCATCTACAACACCCCAACAAGTGTTGGGGTTATGCATTCGGAATCAATGTAGCATAAGACTTACTCCGCTCTGACCAGGCAGTCAGATGCCAATTCGAAACGAGCAAGTGTCCAGTATATAATGCCGTAGTGCAGAAAAGGCGGTAACGGTAACAGTAAAGGTAGCAATCAGTGAGCACTCTGCTACAAGCAAGAACCTAGGGACAAAAAAACCGCAAAACTAAGGAAAGAAGAAGGGAGAAGGGGTAGACGTAGGAAAGCAAGAAAATATATTAAAATAATATGAAACATATTTTTTTCTCTACTCATCACGCACAGTCGATTTGATCCAGCGACGAATACTTCTCCTGACCCTGCAAACGTTCGCAATCCCAATGACTGACCAACCAACAACCGCTGCAACAAATACGACGGTAACTAGTACTAGTGCACGACGGATCGGAAAGTGAATATCGAGACGTGGATGCAACTACCATCCAATGCCATCACAGCTTGGCTGCGGTGGAGGTGATGGGATCCGCTCGCAGCAGAATCCATCAGGCAAAACTCCCGGAGGACAACCCATAGGCGTCGGTT